TGCCAGCTGCACAGCTGCAGCTGAATTTCCAGTTCTGGAATTTACATTTCCAAGTTTGGGCACTTTGCGGAAATACTTAAATTCAAGACAGCGCTGTTATCCTTGTCTTCTGCATTCACTCTGCAGAGCTATGAATGATCCTGATGAATGTGCACATGCTCTGAGAACTAGGGTCCGCCTGTATCTGAGAAGTTGCCCTTGTTCTGCCTGGGTCTCAGTGAGAAGGATTTGCGCTTCTGGAGCGTGGCTGGTGGGGGGTTGTGCTGGTGTAAACCTCTGTGTACCTGTTGTAACTGTGTGTGGGGTTTGAAAGCCAGGGCCTGATGCAACACTTTCTAGGTGAGGCAATTTCCTGTGTATAACTCATATAATTAAGTGTATGGAGAATTCTGGCAGCTGTAGAAATGAGTGTATTTACAGCATAAGGCGCAGGGAAAGTGTGCTAGACTGCAGCCAGAGGACAGGGATGGAGCTGAGGCACGGCCAGCTTTTAAGGTTTTGGGATAAGATGTTGCGGAATTGTATTTCCCCTGCAGCTGCCGCATTATTCTGCAGCCTACCCAGGCCCATCGCTAGCCTTGGTGGAACAGTTTACGGCCGCAAAGTGCGTCTGCCCGGTGGGGTCCCAGGGTTGTACGTGCCCAGGTGCAGTCAGGACGGCTGATCCTCGGCGGTTTTGGCAGCATGGGAGCTGTGGAGGCCGTCGGAGCGGAGAGGGCAGACGCCGCGAAGTGGCAGTCGCGAGCCGGCCCTGCTGACAGGGCGAGAACGGAGCAGGCAGGGGAGCACGCCGATACCCCGTCTGCTGAATCAGTCTAAGTATTTTATAATTTCAGGGGCATTGTGCTCATATCTGGATGAAGGCTTGCATGTTAGAAAATACTAGTTTTGATAAATGGTGCATTCTTCCTTGTGAGTATCAACAACTATGAAAACTTGTATTTACCTCAACAGCAGTAATTGAAATGAGGTGGGGCACATTGGCAGGATGGGCATGAATGAAGAGAAACTCTTGGATATAGAGACAGGCAGTTCTGTGTATTGACTAAGAGTCAACATAGCTCCTAATGGCATTCACAGGTTAATTACGAGGTGAGAGAAATGGGGCTGGAGATGTGGCTTTGAACTTTGGAGGGTGTGACCTTGAACAAGGTGGTCACCTAATGTTCTTGTTTTTTGACAAATTGATGATGACTTTATGGCAGGGACATGTTTATGAACAGCACTTTGACAGAAGTCACCTTTGCTGCATTGATGTGAATGTGTACATAGTGTCATTCCAAGGATGCCTTGCTAAAAGCAATCAACCTCTTTCTAAGCAATTTGAATTGTTATGGTCACAGATAAGAGTGCAAATATATAATATATACTGAAGTTAGTTACAAAGTAATTCTGTGTCCTTTCTTCAAGAAGTTCACCTTCAGAGAGGAGGGAAAACCATGAAATGTGGAAAAAAATACTAACAACATTCTCTAGAAAGCCCTAGGGACTGAGGGGCAGTTTCGCAGACTGAATGAGTGCAAGTACTTGCCAGGAGGATTATTCTTTGTAAGCGGTGTAGCCGATGAAGGCTATATACACTCAGGAGGGCAGCATACACTGGAGATGGTTAGCAAAAGTAATCTGTCCTAACTCAGGGCTGCACAAATAGCCAAAACTTTACTTACAAGTTGCTTGTGGGAACTCTGCAGTTCTTCCCATCCATTGCTCTGGTGTTGTTGACACATAACACATTATCAAGCAAAGCATTCCAATTGCAGATGGAAGCTTCCTCGTTACTACAGAATCAGCATGGATTCACAAAAGGAAAATTGTACCTAATGAATCTGAGAGCCTTCTATAATGGAATGAGTGGATGGGAAGGTGAGGATGTGGATGTGGATGTTGTCTACCTTGACCTCAGCAAGGCTTTCAAGACCTTCTGTCTTCCATAACATCCTCAAGGGGAACCTCAGAAAGTGTGGGTTAGATAAGTGGACAGTGAGGTGGATTGAGAAGTGGCTGAATGGCAGAGCTCAGAGGGTTGTCGTCAGTGGTTCAGTCTAGTTGGGAGGCCTGTAGCTAGCGGCGTCCCGCAGGGGTCAGTACTGGGTTCGATCTGGTTCTACTTACTCATCAGTGATGTGGATGAGAGGACAGAGCGCACCCACAGCAAGTGTGCTGATGAATCAAAACTGAGAGGAGTGGCTGATACCCCGCAGGGCTGTGCTGCTGGACAGGCTGGAGACCTGGGCAGAAAAGAGCCTCATGAAATTCAACAAAGGCAAGTTCAAGGTCCCAAGCCTAGGGAGGAATAAGCCCATGTACCAGGACAGACAGAGCTTGACCTTCTGGAAAGCAGCTCTGTAGAAAAGGACCTGGGCATCCTGGCAGACAACAAGTTGACCATGTGCCAGCAATGTGCCCTTGTGGCCTAGAAGGTCTCCTGGGGTGCATTAGGAACCATAACATCCTCCTATGAAAGCTCTGGAAGTAGGGACTGGACAAGTGGACAGTGAGGTGGATTGAGGACAGGCTGAATGGCAGAGCCCAGAGGGTGGTGATAAATGGGGCCGAGTCTAGTTGGAGGCCTGTGGCCAGTAGTGTCCTGAAGCGGTCAGTACTGGGCCCAGTGCTGTTCGACTTGTTCATCAATGTTTTGGACGAGGGCACAGAGTGTACCCTGAGCAAGTTTGCAGATGACACCAAACTGGGAGGAGTGGTCATCACTCCCGAGGGTTGCGCTGCCATTCAAGGGGACCTAGACAAGATGGAGAGTTGGGTAGAGAGGAACCTCATGAGGTTCAACAAGGACAAGTGCAGGGTCCTGCACCTGGGGAGGAATAACCCCAGGCACCAGTACAGATTAGGGGCTGACCTGCTGGAAAGCAGCTCTGTGGAGAGGCTTTTGGGAGTCCTGGTTGACAAGAAGTTAACTATGAGGCAGAAATGTGCCCTTGTGGCCAAGAAGGCCAGTGGGATCCTGGCCTGCATCAGGAGGAGCATTGTCAGCAGGTCAAGGGAGGGATCCTCCCACTCTACTGACCTCTGGAAAGGCCGCACCTGGAGTGTTGGGTGCAGTTCTAGGTTCCCCAATACAAGAAGGACATTGAGCTTCTAGAGAGGGTCCAGCGTAGAGATGATTAAGGGACTGGAGCATCTAATGTATGAGGAAAGACTAAGTGAGCTGGGCCTGTTTAGCCTGAAGAAGAGAAGGCTGAGAAGAGATTTGATCAACATGTTCAAGTACCTGAGGGGTGACTGTAGGGAGGATGGGGCCAGGCTCTTCTCCGTGGTGGCCGGTGACAGGACAAGGGGTAATGGGTGTAAGTTGAAACACAGGAAGTTTAATCTCCATGTGAGGAAAAACTTCTTTACTGTGAGGGTGACAGAGCCCTAGAACAGGCTACCCAGAGAGGCTGTGGAGTCTCCTTCTCTGGAGATCTTCCAAACCCACCTGGATGCCACCCTGTGCCATGTGCTCTAGGTGACCCTGCGTGTGCAGGGGGCTTGGACTAGATGATGTATAGAGGTCCCTTCCAACCTCAACCTCAACCTATGAGGTGGAGGGAGGTGCTCCTTCCTCAGCTGTGCCCAGTTCTGGGATCTCCAGTACAAGAAGGAAATGAAGCTACTGGACAGAGTCCGGCATAGGGCTACAGAGATGATTAGGGGCCTGCAGAATCCCTCCTATGAGGAAAGGCTGATCAGCCTAAAGAAGAGAAGCTGAGAGGGGATCTTATCAATGTGTATAAATACCTTAAGGGAGAGTGTTAAGAGGATGAGGCCAGACTCTTTTTCAGTGTGGCCAGCTGTGGGACAAAAGGCAACGGGCACAAACTGAAGCACAAGAAGTTCTGCCTGAACCTGGGGAAGAACTTCTTTACTGTGAGGGTGACAGAGCCCTGGAACAGGCTGCCCAGAGAGGCTGTGGGGGGCTCTCTTCCAAACCCGCCTGGATGCCACCCTGTGCCATGTGCTCTGAGTGTCCCTGCTGGAGCAGGGGGACTGGAATAGATGATCTCCAAAGGTCCCTTGCAACCTCAACCATTCTGTGATGCATAAAGCACGTGAACCTACCAAGCAAAAGCATATACAGTTTACATTATGTTCCTGTCTTGGCCCCTGAAAAGTCAGAAGGTATTAGAGCTATGCTGGACGTCCAAGTTGGTACAAACAGGAAACAAACCATATTACACATATTTTTTTTATTGCTGGACTTGGAGTAAGTAGGCACGATTCCTTAAAGGCTTAGTTTTTTTAATACAGTAACTTTTTTTTGTTGTTTTGTCTTGTTTGTTTTTTTCCTGTAGACAAAAAGATACCTTAGATCGAAGTTTTGCTTTATCTTACAGTATTTCTGTACAAAAACAAAAGTCCAAAATCAGCTTTTTACTAGCTGATAACCCCCAAGTTATTTACAGGTGTCAGAAACCTTCGTTACGCAACCAGGTAAAGGAGAACTCTGTAATAAAGCAGTTTGCCTGTTAACTGTGTATCTGCTAGTAAACTCTGAAGGGCTCTGACCTTTTCCAGGTAGTTTGGGTTGGAAAGTCCAGCTAGAATTCTACAAGAATAGGGTCTTTTTAAAAGAAAAGTTTAATATTAAAAACTTAAGCTGACATGGGATATTGTTATCTGTATTTCCATAATAGGGCAGTCTATAAATATTCTCAGCTACTTTTTTTTTTTTAATATAATACAGCAGGTACAGAATGCAGAGTTCTGCTACATATATGGTAATACATATTTGCAATAGTAAATCAGTGTATGAAAATTTCAGAATTTACTTGTTAATATAACTGCTTATAAAGTAACCATACAATTGTAACAACTATACCTCTGAACTATTAAAATGTACAGAAAGACTGTTTACACCATTGCACATACTTATTCCCTTTGCTTCAAAAGACTCGTGAAATACAGAATAAAATCAGTCAGATTTTCCTGTCAGCTCAACTATGCACATGCAGTGTGCATGTCCGTGGAAGCAAGGGGAAATAAAATGTTGGCATCTGTAAGGAAGGCTGCCAGCAGCTCCCAAAAAAAATAAACCTCCCTCTTCTTTCCTCCCCCATTCCCACAAGTATGCAGGCCGGTAGGTTAGTGCAGAATGGATGAACTTCTCTTGCAGCGTTTTGATCGGAGAAAAATCTTGATTTTTATCAGCAATTTTAGGTTAATACAAGTCCGTTTAAATGTTGTAAGGCACTTTTTACTGCTTGTATTGCAGTGGGTCAAGTCTTAAGGCATCTGTTGCATAAACTGAAGATCACGATGCTTTGGAATTTTGGGGTAAGTCAACAGTTCTAGTATGTGACTATTCCAGCCGATGTCCTTCCCAACCCCCAGCCTGTAGTCTTTTAAAAACAAGCCTTGAAGGTATTTTCCTTAGAAATTCTGGTTCTTGGTTCGGTTGTTGACAAAGGTGATTGGTATCGTCGGGTGAGCTGGAGGCCAAGCAGCGGTAAGTTCTGTTACGAGCGCACACAGTGCCACTGGCTTTGCTTTCACCTGCAGCTGCCTTGACTTCCGTGACTGCTCACTGACCGAGAGGTGCTGTAGCGCTTTTTCACGATCATACTGATGTAGGCTTTCATCAGCTTGGCAATGTCAACCACCTGCAAGGAGAGCACAGAGGGCCCAAAGCCCTTAGTGAGGTAACAGCGTGTAAACTGATTTCTTTACGCAACAATATAAAACTGTTGAGCTTTCAACACAAGCCTTTAATGTTAAAGCAAATGCAGCTACTCAAAACTTCTATCCATCGTATACTCTTCCCTTAGTTTTACAGGGGTCTTCAATAATAGTTGCAAATGTTACAAATTTATTCAAATTTAAAAGTAGCCTTGCCATCAGCACAGGATGACATCACTGTTAACAAAATTCATTCTTTCTCTTACCTCACTAGTCTCAAAAAGCAGTTCTCTCTCATCCACGACAATCTTGTAGGTGTTGGCAAGCGGTGCCCCAAAGGACAAGATGTGTTCATACTGAAACACTTCCAGAGGCCGGCCTTCTCCACGCTTATAGACAGAGACGGCGTCAGCGCTGACTCCAAGCCACAATTCTTGTGGAAAGCCCCCTTCTTTACACTAGAGGAAAGAATGTAAATTAACAACAAATGGAACAGGGTGAGCTGCACAACATTTACTATTCAAGTCCTCTTCTGTACTCATTAAAACAGAAGAAAGTGCGGGTTGATGGCCCATCTTTGAGTGTAGCTTATATGCATCTCCTCAACCTGTACGCAACTGACAAGGCTAGCATTCAGCTCCTCTGAACTTTATGGGGTTAAATGACTACAGCGCATGCTAACTGGAGTGTGATTTAGTATGAAACATATAGTTACGTCAGCTCTCTGAGCATTGTGATCTGGTTTAGAAAACTACTCCAATGTAACCACCAGTTACAGCAGTACAAACTATATTGCGAGCATCGAGGAAGTCTTACCTCTACATCAAACAATGTTGACCCGTAGCCAGGCCATTCCTTAATCAAAGCCATATACTTGGCCATAGCCTGCTCCTGGTTCATTCTCTGCAGCTTTTTCCATTTGTCAATAATACTAGTCCTGGAAGCTGAGACTTCCTCTTTGACCCACATGTCTAACATCTGATCCTCCTCGACCTTCTGCTTGCTGATAGAGCCACTGCGGAAGCTCCTCCGCAGCGTCCCTTCAAGGAAGCTGGCTCGCTTCTTCTCAGCCTTCTCTGTTGCAGTAAAGGTTTTGGTGGACTGAGTAATCCGAGACTTCAGCTTTTGCAAGGGGTAGACTTCCTCCATGTCTGGTATGGTGGTATGCAGAGTGTAATCTCCCTGAAGATACTGAAGACGCAAAGCTGCAAGGACCTGGAGCGTTTCTTCTGGAGCAGGATAGTGTCCTCTAATCACTGCTTCATGAGCCTAAAGGGAGGAAAAATGTAGCTTTGTATGTACAAACTCAGTCTTTGAAAGGGCAGGAATAGAAATGGGAAGTAGATTTACTGCCATGTAAATCACGTAAACCCATCATAAGTGATCCACTACATAAACCAAGTATGGTAAATTTGTTAGTCAATAAACCATGATTTTTCACAAGAACTGCAAAGCACATGAGGAACTTTGCTACAGGTGTTACTGCTACTAGTACAGGCCCTACAGAACCAACCACTTGTGTTACTAAGAAGGAAAAGAAAATGTGAAGGGGAGAAAAGCAGGACTTCAAACAGCCGTTGGGAAGGTTAAAGGGGTGGAGTTTAACATCTGTGTTAAAGGACATTAGGCAAAAACAGGCATCAAGACTTAGTTATCATTGGTATTAATAATCTGGCTGTGAAAAAAAAAAAAGTCGCTCACCAAATGTGCAAAACCCTAGGACAGACTGCTAATAAACCCCATGGAGGGAAAGCAGTGAATCTTAACAGGGATCTAGATAAAATTAATAGAATATTTATATGGCAAAGTTGTCTGGAACACCAGGGTGATCTAATTCTGAAGTAAGACAACTCCTTCAGATCCTAGTTCCCTCTTTGCACACTCATTCAAAGCTTCAGAAAATTGTAGTATCTAGGATTTTTTTTTCATATAAAACTAATACTGGAAACAAACGTAACTCATATCTGGAGATGCAGGAACTGCAGACAGTTTAGTAAAAGCATAGAGATAATTTGCATCTAAGTAAGAGCAAGTTCATCTAGGCATATGATTAAGGGAGACAGAATCTGCCTGCAGACATGCAAGGCAGTTTAACTGGGATTGCAGACATGCAGAAGACAGACTGTATTGTAGAAATGGAAGGATAGGATCTTAATAAGTAAGAGTAACTAAAAGATCTTTAATTAGCATCTTATGAATCAATTCAAGTTTTAAAATAATGAGAGAGAACTAAAACTGAAGACTCAAGGGAACTCTGAAATTATCTGTTAAAAAAGAATCAATGACTGACAGCAACAACAGGCAATTAAAAATATGATGTTAGAATGTAATTAATTGCCAACTTAAGATAGTGGTGTGATATTAATCTGAATGATTGAACGTGCCATGTTGTCTAACTGAAATACTATTGGTCTTGGCACGATGCAAAACATTTGGCTAACCACCAGTCAGCATGGAATAGAAAATAGAAAAGCCGCTGTCTGATCAGTTCTGTGCAGTTACCAGTAGGGTCTGTAACAGTTTGCTTGGCAATTACATATTTTGATTTTATTTCTTGCACTTCCTTAAGTAAATAGATTCATAAGAGCAAAACTAAAAGCTGGTGTTATTTTTCCAGATATAAATTATCCATCTTAGACCAAGTCAGTGTTTTTCTCTCACCACAATAACATACAGTGAGTCTCAACTGACAAAAGTATTATAATGCACAAACAGATGGGTCAGAACACTAAGTAAATCACATTCACTTCACTTATCTTGGATAATCCTACTTGACCATTAAACTGCTTTCTTTGCATTTGCTGCCTGAGCCGTATAGTTATATTAGTTATTCTTTAGTTATTATTTAGTTATATACAGTTATTTTAGTTAAAAACATAACTCGAAGTCTTCCCGTGTTGCCTAAATCTCTTGCTTTTTCCTTCTTCTTAAAAACTCTTTGCAACAAAATCTATTTTTTACCTGCTCAAACATAAAGGCGAATTCCACACTGTCTTTGGGGACATTTTCTGTGTCCAGGAAGCAGTAGAGCTTGAAATAAAACTTCCAGTGCATCTCCCCAGCTTCAGCAGAAGCAGTGAGCCTACATGTTTGTTGAGAGAAAGACGTATCAGATCCGTGTAATCAAATGCCTTTCTGAATGAACCCCTGAAGAGTCTAAGCACAACACTGGCTGGTTTGTTTTTGTTTGTAACACCCTGTAAAAATCTGTTATCGGTGACAGAAGTTATTTGTTTTCATTAGCATATTTTACTGATGTGATGTGCACTTAAATTTTTTTTTGAACAGTCTATAGCAAAACCCAGGAATTAGAAGTGTTGACTGAGTTTCTCCATCAAGTGTTTCTAAATCAAATTCTCTAGTAACTGTTTTTTTGGGGCTCAGTCACTCAGGTGTCAGGTTTAAAAAACAAGATTTGTTTCTGTTAAAATATGTAATTGCACAGCATTTTATATGTTGTTTTCCCATTGTTTGGATTAAAGAGGCTGCTCGCCGTGTGTATAACATAATGATGACAAACAGGTATTTAGTGTTGTGTTACATTTTCCTACTGCAGCCCTCTGGATGATTTCAAATCCACTAACAGAAGTCAGAGAAATGTTCTGTGGTGGCTCCTACATGAAGTCCAAGTGAAGTTACGCAGTGGGCGGTCAGAAAGGCAACGACTGCCAGGAGTTCAGTTCTCCCGGCAGTGGGGCAGCCACAGGGCTAGTAAAGGTGGGAAACATACCTATAGGTTATCATTTAACAAATAAAAAAGGCACAGGAAGAGAAAATTCAGTATTATCGACACTGGAAACGTATTTAATTGCTACTAAATACATTAGAGTGAAAGAGGCACACTCACTTTTCAAACTTTGCCAAGACATCTGCCACAATGGTTCTGCTTTCAATTGCTTTATTAGTAGTTCCATTGTATTCAAACAAAGCAAACATATTTCTGCTATCCTCCATGGCCAAGCCACGAATTAGCTTTTCAACCACCTAAAGAAAAACAGCACATCAGCAAACCCAAAACATGAAAAGTAGTCTCACAGAGTTAAGGCACATACTTAGGAAAAAATAAAAACTAGATTTTACATTAGGAGAAAAATGCAGTTAAGATGTTCTTATCAGTTGTATTCATTGTCCTCAAACACAATTCATTTTTTTATCCTAAATACTACTGATTCTTCAGGAATATATATATATATATATGTGCTACCACTGCCAAATACAGTGCCTGTATTTCACCAAGTCTAGCTTTAGGAAGCAACCTGGCTCTCATACACCACCATATGTACTGAAGCTATGTCAGCACTGCCACTGTTGCTTGGTCTTTCCAGTATTTTTTCCTGTAAGAGAGGACTCATATTGGGTAAATCTGTGCTGTGCAAAGACAGTTTCCACAGCAGGGATTACTTGAGGTAACTGGGGAGCGGAGGAGAGGATCCTGTGGTGACCTCTCAACAGGACCCTCAACTGGCAGTCAGAAATCCTCAGTGTTTCCAGGGTTCCACACCACCACTAGCTGCATCCATCACATATGGAGAAACACCAGCTGACTGTGTGCCAGAGCTGTTTTGTCCCCACTTCTTACCTCTCCGGCTGTAGTGTGCGAGTTGATGGTGATCTTACAGGAGCCACCACCATGGCAATAAACTGTAGACGTCATTTCCTGCCTGCTGATCAGGGCTTCTATTTCATCCCGTGATGGCACAAACTCTCTGCATTTGGTTTTTTTCAGAGACTCGTAAGTAAAAAGTGCATATTTCTCCATTTCAGTTCCCGGAAACTGGTCACGAACCCTGTGAGACAAGTATTATTACTCTAAATTGCCAGTGTGTGAAATAGAAAACTACTCATTTGACAGTGGGTTTTTCCTTAAAGCGATAAAGAATTTCGGTATCCTTTCAAATAGTATGCTATTTAATTGGCACATCAAAGGTTAATCTTCACTGTCAAGGAAAGTGTCCTAAAGATGCTTTACCATGAGATAACTAACATACAAAAATCATTTTGTTCAACAAGCTTAATGGGAAGCAAAAGCTTATAGGAACCTATATTAACTATAGCAACCTTGTTATGATTCAGATTTGTCAATGAGATAGCCAGAATAATGTTATTGTAATCAGCTCTCCTTTTTGTTAATAATTGTTGAATGAAGCCCAAACTGCATTGAGGTAATACAGAAACTAAGCAATAAAACAGATTTTTGACTACCCGCTTTTGCAGTAGTGTCACCTGGGACGCTTGATTTCTATTCCTGATTTTCTTACAGATCCTCTCTAGGCTGTACTGTTCAGCAACTCTGAGGAGTATTCAGTAACAGCTTTAATGAACTCAACTCTAATTATTGCAGTTTTTCTAACCAGAAGCCATTTTACGAACTGAGTTAAAGTGAGAAAGTGAATTAATGTTAGATTGTTTTAATTTTTCTCACTTGGATACTAAGTGATTGGTGTTTTCCACTAAATTTATTTTGGTTTCAAGGTATAGCTTCGATACAAGCATTTTACAAATGATTTAGTATAGTCACTTACCAAGTCTGTGTACTACTGTGCATACAGACATGATTTGTTTGTTTTAATGGACTATTTTTTTCTACTGACAAGCACTTTGCAGCCTACTCATGCATTAGAGCAAGAGGAACTCCACAATCTAGTTAATGCTCAATTGTCAAAAATAATACTGTTTTTATGTGACAATTTGGACAGTTAGGAGTGTACTGGTCATTTAAGCAAATTTATACAGTTGCTTAAAGCTCAACTTCTGTCAATGTTAAACAATGCATTCAGTTTAGTGGAACTTTGCTTGATTCTTCTGAAGAAACTGAAAATAATTCCACTTAGATCAACTCATACACTGCTTGCTTACGACATTTTTTTGAAGATTTATAGTTTGGTCTAAACAAACTATGGTTTTAATTCACTAAGTTGAATGCATTTTCATTCAACTTTCATGAACATCTCTCCTCAAGATGTCTAAACGCACTTAAATGAGGGGAAAGAGGGAAATAATGATGGAAGGAAATTTTGTCTTGCTCAAGCAGTTCAAAGTTTCTCACCTTTTGAGATGGAACTTGAGGTATTTGAGGATGCTGCGGCTGGGCAGAAAAGTGCAACTCATGCAGGTGAGTATCTGCCAACTATACAGGTTCCCCACGCTCCCAGGGGTAGGTACTTTGTTGGTCTGCTTGATGAGCTGACAGTACAGCTCATCTCGAAGAGGTCGCAAATCGTGCCCGGTTTGCAGGATACCTTGAATTATAGGGATGGGGTCAGACATAGACTCTAGCTGCTGTAATGAATTGAATATCTTGATGGCTTCATCCTGCAGAGTTGTGTAGCCCTTGTCTTTCAGCACTACAAAAGAAAAAAAGAAAGGTGTTTACACTGAGAGATGAAAGAGAAAGCACTAACTCAGGCTTAATGTAGAAATTGCTCAGTGAAATTCTGTGACACTTCTTATGTAGGATAGCAGATAGATCTTTTCCATTTTATATTTATGAGACAAACTTGTTTTATGAGTTATTTTGCTATTAAGATTTGTTTTGAATTTAATGAAATCCAGTCTGTGCTGCACTTGTGCATGGGACAAGCAGCTCAGGGAATGAGAAAATTAACACTATGCCTTGCCACTGCACAGGAAGAGGATGGGGAAGATAAAGAAAAGGTTTCTTCTAGCATTTTCCTTTCCTTTGTCCTGTTAGCAGCACATTATCATTTGAGTTATTGGGAAATCTTACCTGAAGCATCTTAGCCCTTAATCACTCACGAGACCCCACTGGCCTCTCAAAGATGAGATTTCTGATCTGAAACGCCTCTTGTTTAGTAAGCAGTTTCAAAATAATATAAGCATGTTAATATAAGGATATCATATCCACAACTGGGTCTGAACCATTTAAAACATATTTCAAGCTTAGTGTTTCTTAACATCCTTGGTTCAATCACTACTATACCTGTTTCAGGAGTAATGTGTTGTTACTTTTTCAAATCGTGTATATTTAAATCTTTCTTTATATATATAAACATTGTTCAAGGACACTAAATGAACTGGGTTTTGTTGCTTATTTTAAGCTTCTCAAATTTGGTCTGCTTAGCTGCACTGTGAGTGAGGGTAACCAACTTGCACCACAGCAGCAACAGCAACTTTCCTTTCCTGACCACCCACATAGGAGCAAGAGCAGCCTAAGTTTTTTTCTATAACTGAAAAACTTACAGTTGAGATTGATGTCCCCATATGGCAATGGCAGTAATGGCGAGTGCAACGGATGATGAGTGTAACGGAGAATAGGGTTTCTCTTATAAATTTGTTCAACCACTTCGGCATTTAGGCAGTTTTCCTGTTTGGGAGAGAGAAAAGCTTAATTTGGGGTCCAGCACTAGCAGTAATGCAATACCTAGTGTCTGGAAGTTGGCTGAAGAAAAATGAGTCATTGGTGTTAACACTATCTGGTGCTAAATCGAGCTGTGGGCACTGTGACTCCCTTGGCACACTGCACACTATGAATGCTCAGCAGCTGCTGACCTCGGGCCTTGCATAAGCTTGTCTTATCTGCACAGTACAAAAACACAACAGAGCTGCAGGGGACAAAAACGCATTTTTATAAAACTTTCTGAAATGTGTTTTCATTCTGCAATTGTTCTTATTCCAGTCTTTCATAACTGGAATTATATCAAGACATCTGTCTTCGTTTTCTTTAAAAATCTTTCTCTAGCCTAACTAACCAGCTTTTCCAGATTCACCTTAACAACATAGTCTCAAAAAACAGCTGCTGCAAACCTGCTGCGCCCATTCTGCCCCTGATGGTTGAACACTGTTCTCAGTCAAAGCTTGACAGATGTATGAGAACTGTCTCCTCTCATTTCTGAACTTCCTTACGTTTTCTACTGTGCTAAAGAACAGGCTTCGTGTTCTTGAAATGTAGGACTTGATATGTCTTTTCCATGAGGAAGAGGGAGGAGACACTATGGAGAAAACTTAGCAGCTGATCTTACTCCTTCTCCCTCTCTTTTGGTGGGGGACCCAACTAGCCCACGTGCTGGCAAGCTGCTTACTGTGGACACTGCCAGTCACATACACTGACCCAAGAATCACCACTCTACTGCCTGGCATAGCAGCATCTAATAAGTTACACAAGGGGAAAAAAAAAAAGTTATCCTTCTTTCTCTTCAAGTTACATCACATATTTTGTTCTTAAGAGTGCTTCAATACAAATTCCTTTAGTAGGTGAACGCCTACATTCAGATTCTGCAATTCTCCATGCGATAGCCTGCAATAGTCCATGTGTGATAAAACTCACGTTTTCTGCTTGGCAAAAGGAACATAAAAACAAAGACTGATTTCAAGTATCTAACTAACCCTTCTTTCCTACCCCGCTCTGGTTTGTTCCTACCTTAATATCCTGAATAAGTTGCTGGGTTGGTGTATCAATTGGTGCTTTTGTGTCAATCACATTCTGGATGGCGCTTGACCAACGGGTGGCCTCGTTAAGCAACTTCGTGTAGAGACGGTAACAGTGTTTGCGTCCGTATACAGTTACATTCCAGTAGCCTGGAACAACAGTAAAAATTATTTCAAAAATAATTTTTATTTTAAAAGCATAGCTATAAAAATACCCCAGCTTCTAGCTAAAAACAGGTGCACTCTCATCAGACCTTGGCTGCTGTATTCCACGACCTTCTAGCAGGTTTTTCTTAGGAACTAAGAAATTGTACCAGTAATAACTATCCTAAAAACAGACTACACCTGTAAAGGAGAGAACGAATGCAGAAGGGTAATGAAAAAATATAGCTGCCAGCATGCAGCGCTCATGGACAATATGAGACAAGACAATATGAGATAGTCTTGTGTTTATGTATGTATTAGCAGCTGTGGCACATACATAAACAGACATAAAGCACATTACCTGTTCTGTAGAACAGTCATTAATTTCACACCAAGGAAGTGGCAACTATGTAAGAGAAAAGCAGCACTGCAGTTCATCTTATCTCTCTACATAACTGCATAGGCTTTTTTATGAAGCAGTTTCCAAATAAAGGAAATCTAATTAATCTTTCACTATCAAAACCCTCTTTGAAGTGTCCATGACCCCAATGAGGTAATGCAGAACAGTCAGCTGTCACTTCTAATTTACAAACAGCCACATCAGAACCGAAAACCAGTTCTGAAAGTGCACTGCAGAGCTGACTCAGTTGCAGTATGTAGGTTAGCACAAGCTGGATGCTTGCTCTAGATCTTCCTATCCTTGCCCTGCCAGTGGCAGCCCTCAGAGCTCTTCTGCCCAAAGTTATGTATGGAAAGCGTGCTGCCTAGCTGCCTTTCCCATGCCTTTGATGTGTAAGCATAAGCATCCAAGCTACCTTACCACAAGTGTCAGGCTGAGATAGCTTGAATGTTGCTGAGAACAAGTTTTACTACTGTATACCTGATTACTGCTGCCTTTTGCCTAGTATGTCCCTGTATTATGCCTCAGTGACTTAGGATTTGTTCAAACCGTCACCTTAGTACTCCATTTAAAATACCTTTGCACACTGCTTGTGGCATAAACAGGGCAGGAGGCAAGCGTATTCCAACACACACGAACAAGTACCTGTCTCTTTGAAGATTTTTTCATCGGGTGGGACGACAGAGCAGAGGCTGTTCAGGACCAGCGTCCCCAGTTTCAAAGCGTTCTTCTCCGAGCTCTTGTAATAGTCCAGAGAATTGTGTGTCAGCACAAACCAGCGCTTCTTTAGCTTTAACGAAGACATCTTTGGGTTGTTTTTCACTTCCTTGTGGAGCCATCCTGTTAAAGACGAGTTCAATGGCACTTTGTTTACTTTGCGGTGTTGGACAAAATTAAGTTGCTGAAAGGTAGTTATTTACCTTTTACAGCAAAGATATGCTGTGTTCAGCCCACGTACTAAACAGCTTCGAGCAAAATTCTCCAAAAATAAAATGTTAAAAATATTATGTAAAATCTATATGACAAATTGCCAACACTGTTGTTTACCCAGAAAAATTGTTTTGTTGAATTACAAAATGCTTTTGTGATCATTACAGTGATCTTGCATAGTACCATGGGACTGCAATTTCAGATATACTTAATTAGGAGTAAACTGCACAATACAAAGCAAGCATCCAATACTGCTACGCTCCACTAGCGTGTTTCACAGATTGTAATTTGGGAACAATCTCTTTCGAGGTAAATGGATCTAACTTACTCCAATATTACTCCACTCAGATCTTACCTCTCACAATGAATTCCTGTCCCTCCACTCTGGTGTCCCCCTTCGACCTCTGCAGTAGGGTTATCCAGTGATGCATCTCTTCGGGAGTGTCAGCATTACAGTGAAGAACACGGTTAGCAGTGATGATCACAAATGAATTGGGTCTGTGGAAAGAAATGAAGATTGAAAAAGTCTCTACAATAAGAGTACGCACTGTTTACCTCGCCTGCCATAAGTATAAACAGTTTCCTCTGTTTGCATTTTTTATTCAGACAGATACCATCTAGCTCTAAAGCATTTATTTCAACGCCACTAAACCTAAAAAAAATATTGGGCATTTGAGAAAACTTAATGCTGGATTCACACCAAAAGGCTAAGGCTCCAAATGGTGGGAAAGTTTATATTAAATTGCAGTTTGTCCTATCTCAAAATAAAACCATGGTGAGAAAAACCACCAATCATTAATCAGCTTTAGATATGAATCAGAACTGTATTTTGGGGTCAGATCTATTTAAAGTGTCTGCTTCAGTAGTTACATTAGCTAAACCCAACCACCGAGGTCCATAACGAAGCAGTATGTGAACACAGATTCTTTTATTTGAACACAGTGCGACTCGATTTGCAGACACCACAATCTATTTTTAATGAGAGTCTGGCCTTCGCCCAATCCTCCAGCAGGATTTACTGAAGCACGAAGAACTGGCCCCAGCACAACGTGTCAGTAGCTCTCTGCATTAGAGTGGCAGGTTTTCCAGGCTACAAACCACTTGCTTTAACCCTTTATTACCACCAGTGTTTTCATCCTGGAACACTCAAGCCTTTTAAGAACTTTATCAGACAGAGCAAAGAGGAGCAATTCAGTCCAGGCTCTTCTGTGGACAAGGAGTGTGTAGGCCTTTGTTGCACAGTTCTAACATGAAAATTGTTTGGTAGAATATGGAACTAGTCAAAATGTTTATGGAGACGGAGATGCTCACCCAAATAGGTCACCATTCTCCAAAAACAGTACATGCCATTTAAAAGCCAGATGGAAAATAAATAAAAAAGATAAAAACCAATACTAATAAAATGTTTGGGAGGTAAAATTAGAACACATGGTGAAGGGGGTTTATGGTAATCCAAGCGACAGATAAGAAGCACGCAGGTAAGTTCTAATGATGTAATAAATAATAATAATAAATAATAAAAAACAACATCAGCCTTTGGATATCCTTTATAGAATAGGAAGAAAAAAATATTTAGTGTTGTGCTCACCATTGCCACAAGATGGGTAAGGAGTGATCAGAGTTTTGGTTCACATTCACAATGGAGGAAGTGTCAAATTATTCAAGGAAGAGTGGTGGAGAAGGAAACAGGGGGAGATGTGAACCAAGGAACTGTCTTTTAAGAACAAGCCGAAGGAAAGGGATCTGTAGACTGAACTAAGTGAAGCACCCACAGAAAAGCTGTAAGGCTGTTACAGATGCTTCCTAATGGTAAGGAATCATTTAATGCTAAGAAGCCCTAGCATCATTTAAGATTCTAAGACTAAAAAGTCTTTCTAACTTAATATTTGGAAGGCTTTGCACATTTTGTGTTGTACTGTTTAGGAAGCCTGGGGTTACAGTCACAACTACTTGTAGTATCTGGGATCTTGGGATCTTGGTAAACCAAAGGAAGGTCATTACTTAAAACCGGTTATTTCACACATTTGCTATGAGGAGACTGGAATGAACTGTTACAATACAAATAATTCCTCATAGCTAGTAACATGATAACTGCACTCAAACCCTGGACCCAGATTACACTTTACCTCTTATATACTGTGACTGGATTTTTGCTGCCACACTGTGATGTTTGTTATAAAAACACTCACTCGGAAATATGGTACCATTCTAGGAAATAATTTTCATCAACTCACTATTCTACAAGAAATATACCCTTCTTGCACAAGGAGATAAACAGCAGAATGTTAAAAGAATTTTTATGCCTACCATGTTGCTAAGGGAGTGGAAAATAAGACTTCGCTTTTCAGAGGCATTACTTGCATAAATGACATACTTACCTTCTACCTTTGGGTCACTTTAGTAACAAAATTGCTGAGCAGTGCATATATGGAGCAAGGTCAGGGAAGATAATGAATCTCCCACAGAAAAAGTACAAAATGCCCACTTTTCCTATTTTAATATATTGTATTTGGTACTATCAAAAGGGAGGCAATAACAAACCATTGTCATGTGTAGTTGGTCAGAAGAATATGAAGACTAACGTATAAAGCGTGAGATTTTGTCTAGAGAGAAGAAGAAAGGAAGTTACCAGACGTGGCTCTGACTTACCTATCTGGATTGTCAGCAGCACAGACAGAATCAATGAGTCCTACATCGAGTGTACCCTATAAACAAACATCAAACCAGAAAAGGAGGAATATATTTACTATGGTATTACTGACTGTACGCTACTCAAGAGATAGGTGAAAGGAGTAGCAGCAAAATGAGCTGTAGATTTTGACATTACTTTTTCCTAACCACTAAAATGACAGAGAGGAAAAGTAAAAGACTCAGATAAACGGATCCAGTATGAGATTATATTTAGTTATGATGGAGGCAGTTCAAAAATTGCTCTTATTTCTCTATGCTTGCAAACCCGCAAGTTTTCACCTGAAAGTGCCATCTCATTGTAAACAGCATCCTCTCATGACAAATTTATTAAGTCATTAAGCAGAAAATTTTATTTCCCTTGCCTGATAGTAGGTCTTACATTTGTCACACTATTTCCAGCACATGTTACATAGTGTGATGAAGGCAGGACTGGTAAATCTCAACTTTTTGCTCTTGGGTTTGTAATTTCACAGAATCACAGAACGGTTGAGGTCGGGAGGGACCTCTAGAGATCATCTAGTCCAACCCCCTGCTCCAGCAGGGACACCCAGAGCACGTGGCACAGGGTGGCATCCAGGCGGGTTTGGAAGATCTCCAGAGAAGGAGACTCCACAGCCTCTCTGGGCAGCCTGTTCCATGACCCTCACTGCTGAGAAGTTCTTCCTCACATGGAAATGGAACTTCCTGTGTTTCAGCTTGTACCCATTACACCTTGTCCTGTCATTGGCCACCACAGAGAAGAGCCTGGCCCCATCCTCCCTACATTCTCCCCTCAGGTACTTATACATATTGATTTACTCATTAACTGTATCTTTGCAAGACTTCAAACTCCAGTTTGAAGTAGTTTGAAAGAGAACTGGATCAGCAAGATAAATAAATAAATACCTAGATAGACAGATAAATAAATAAAAGTCACCATGACTTTTTGTCAAGGTGAATGAAAGACGGAATAGGAACTCTGTCCCTGCCCTTCTATACGTACCAGGCATGGCTTGCAGCCTACAGTCAGTGTCACAGCTATCACTTCACTTAAGGAAATATAGGCTGTGACTGACAGAAACCACATATTCAAGTCAATGGCCACCATAGTGTCCTTCTTTTCTAAAAATACTTGCTTTGCAAAGTTCTTCTTCAGGTCTAGACTCACCACGGCATTCTGTGGATTTGCCTGCTCATCGTGCATCTCTCGGATCTCTTGCTCAGTGGACGCATGCACTTGGCTCAGGACACTAAACCACTGGCTGTGGAGAGAAAGGCAGCAGTGTAAGTGGGGTGTTCTTTGGGCACAAGCCTCTTGTCACCTTTGCTCTGCAGAGATCTAACAGGTTCTTCAGGTTTTTGAAGTTGCTTAAGATCGCTGATGTCAACACGCCTGAAAGCAGCAAGGATTTAATGTCACTTCAAATAACCTGGGATACTAACAAGCCCCCTCAGATCTCCCCTGCAAATCCATGTTGTAGCCCTCTGTCTGAAGACAAACAGCTGGTAAAACAAAACAAAACAAAACAAAACAAAAAAAAGGAGTAATCACACTGAAACACCTGAATGATTAGGAAGCGTCTGTAACGCATTCTGCACATTTAATTCTAAAACCTCAACATCACTAGTGACACACAAAGCCTTTAGTGAGACTCCCAGCCGCCAAATGATAAATTCTGCTGCACTGATGATGGGACTGGCAATTGTTTCTTATGGTGATATTTCTGCAAAGTCCATCAAATCTTCTGTACAAGACCAAATGAGAGGGGAAAAAGAACAACCCCCACAAGCAACTATCTCTATGTTCTACATCCAGCTGCTAGAAGGCCTGGAGTCAACCTGTGCCACTCCAGCAGCCTTGCATTTTCCCTGCGAGACTGGAGCCGTGCTTCTAGTATTCCAGCACCTAGTGTGGAGCAGTACTTGCACATTTTTATTCCAACCACACCTTCTGCTTCTGGGAAATCTCTATCCTCCTGGCACTTGTATATGATAAAGTTCAACTGCTCCGAGCAATCCCACTGAAATTTGAGGGCAGAGCTTGGCCTGTTTGGCAGGTTCCCGAATGCCATTCGTAGAGATACGAATTTGCCATTCTAATGAAAGTTACCTGAGGCCAAGCTTTCAAAAGGCTGCAAAGCCCAGCCTTTCAAATTGTCTCCTCACTTCTCTGCAGAGAGTTCCTGCCACTGCCAGCGAGGAATCAAATGCAAAATTGCTGGCTTTAAGTGTAAAGCTGTCTTTTCTGCAAGTGCTCATAGTCACAGAATGCCTATAATGCTGAATTGCTGCTTATGTTTTCATTAGAAATACCACGATGTGTGAAGAAAAACAAAGATTCAGAGCGTTTGACGGTAGAAAAGAAGATGAGAATGTACTTGACTTCTTTTCTGAGAAAGCTCTTTTGTAAGGACTCAAAGATGCCCACAGAGGGGCTGGGCACGACCCTTGCTTTGCTGAAAAGTCTTCTGACCTAAGACGTGGTCACTGAAACCCCTCTGAATGAGGGCAGCAGATCAAGACAGGGGAACCAGTGAGCAGAGGAACCTTAACCCCGACTCCCAGAAGATTCCCCACAGATTAAATTCAGATTTTCTTCTAGGATCATGAATTACAAATCTATTTAAAAGTCACTTTTTTAACTAAAAAAAAGAAAAAGGGAAAAAAAAAAGGACTTCGTAGCATTGCATGGCCAGTTATTGAGTAGTTTGTTACCAGGTTTTAAATAGCAGTACAGAGTTTTCCTAGTCTCATGTACTCTTTGGTTTTTTGTTTTATTTCCTAAAAACCAGGAATATGGGAAAAACTTGGGGCTGAAAGAAGTAAACCCACAAGAATGCCTGCTCATTAAATCATTATTTCTTCAAACAGACTTCCATGATTAAAATAACCTTCTTTTGATGATTTTTTTTTGATTTTCATGTTCTTTCTTTTTCCACTCAATAGGAAAGCAAGCTCAGATTTTTCCCTGTTCAAGTGCAATTTTTTTTTTAAAGAAAAAACCTTTAGATGAATTGAGGAGGGAAATAATTCTAAATGGCTTCAGTAGCAGATCTAGAACAAACCAACACAGTCCAATATTTTTGTACTTCATTTTTAACAATGCTAAGTTATGAGGCTTTGATTTAAACCCATTTGCAAACCCTAACACATCACCAAGACATGTTAAAAGTTTTCAGGGTGAGTGTGAGAACAAACAAATGAACAAAAACAACAAAAACATGAAACAGGCCAGTAAAAAGCAATTTAATCTTAATTATGTGTATTTTGTGTACTATACACAATGACAGTGATGTAGGAATCACTGTCATCATCACTGAATCATGCTTAGGGAAAAAAAAGATAACATACATGACGAGACATAGAAGTCTGGTAATTTGCTATCGGTCCCTGTGGGACATTTATCAGGGCTTGTATAGAAGTTTAACAGAAGGGACAAAAGTTTAACTGATTCTTAACTTTTAAACATAGTCATAATCACACAAGAATCTTAATGCTAGAAAGATCATACTTATTTCAAGTATAATTTTAGGGATGGCTAAAAATGAGCAGCGAATCTACATGGTTAGCACTGCTAAATTTACATACAGTATCCTGTGATACTGGGAATTATTATACCTATTTAAATAAAAATAAAAATATGAGGCAGCTTGCAAGCCTGTAGAGCAAAACTAGTTCAGATAATTTTGACATCCTCCATCTGGCCTCAAGGCAGCAAGGCTACCGCATAATAATAATTGATTATTGAGTTCACTATAAATATTTGATTTTATAAATGAGAAACAAGTATGTTCACAGAAACCATAGTGTGAGGGGTTTTGGTTTATTTTGCTTTTTTTAAATACACTGCAACCTATCAGACAAATTAAGCTTGCTCCTCACCTACTAGCCTTGCAGTTTTCCCCTTAAGTTTGATAAGGATCCTTCAGAAAGAAAAGCAAGGCCCTTTTTAAGGCAGCAGAAAGGGCAACACTCTGTTGCATCCTCTTCTCATTCACGAACATGCTTTCACCCTAAAATCCTGTGATTATAGCTTTTATCTGAAAAGATTTTAGGCAAACAGATCCCAAGCCTAAAGAATTGGACTTTATTTCAGAGATGACAAAGTCTCAGTTATTGAATTAATCTTTTATGCAGGCAGGGTAATGCCCAAGAAAAGCAGTCCAAAAAGGCAGCTTATTAGCCCACTTCGGACACACTGAATGTCAGAGTTACTAGCAATCGATGGGGAAATCACACCCTAGACAAGTTTCACTGACCGTTTGACTCTTCCTACGGGTTTCTTTTCAAAAGCGTGCTAAAAGCAAAGCGTTTTCCTCAACTTAACTCCTTTGCAATAATGGGCAAATAAAATGATGAGCATGAGTTACAAAGGTATGGAGATTAAAAAAACAAAAACATTATTTTCATACCTTGCATCCTCAGGAGACTCAGCAATCAAATGATAGGTTCTATCACCCATTATTAGATCAATACCATTTTCTTTGCCAGTATTATCAACAATCTCTCTGAAAACAAGACAAACAAAGATTTTGTATTAGAGATCTTCAACAGATTCTGAAAATGCCATTTCCCTGAAAGGCTCATAAATTACTGACACCTGAAAATCCAGCAATTAGCATGAAGCAGGCTCATTTGCAGAATGCACAGCTGGATCAATTAACCAAAATGTAATTGCAGTGTTTTCTGCCAACACATTACAAATATTGATACTGCTATGAATGTCACTATTCCAAAGTGACTATTCTGCTAGTGTTCTAATAAGAAAAAGTATTATCAAAGCTTGAAAGAAGCAAAGAGCTGAGAAATGGATTCATTTATGAACTCATTGGAGTGGTGAAGGGAAAGCTATTAAAAATAAAAATAAGTAAATAAATAAGAAAAACCTTGATTAGTAATTCTGTGTAGGAGTCAATGGAGGCAATTCAAAAAAAAATATTTTCAGAAAAAGCTGAGCACTCATCTTCTGAAAAATATCTTTCTGATATTTTTTGGGCATTCAAATACTGATATATTAAAAATCATGAACTATAAAGGACAGGATTTTTAAGAAGTAACCTAAGTATGACATTAAATTTGGAAGCTTCTATTTGAATTTAACATTTTGCTTAAGCTTAAAAAATCAGCTTGTTTTTCTTTCTGCTACCATATTTGTCTAACGCATATTGTTTCCTTCTTAATTAGCTATACTCCCTTCTCAGTTAGACTATTCTCATCAATCTCTCTTCTACATACCAAATCTGTAAGCTCTGTTTATCAGCCTCATGAGGAAAATTTCTACATTTTCTATTGAAAAGGTATCATTCTGCATATTTTTATTTAATTTTGCTTCCTTCTTCTCAATGACAGTGTCTGCAGAGTTCATTCCAGATGTGCATTTTAAGTGAAGCAGCCCAAGATTTACTTTATTTGAATAGGGGCTCTAATATGGAGTAGTTAAGGATGTTAGATGTATGTTAGTAATGTGCTCTGTGAATATTAAAGTTACCTAGAAAAACTGTTGCTTGTCATAACATAAAACAAGTAGCTTTTATTTTAGTAATTTATGTACAAATACTCACTGATTGCATCTACAGTTCAAGTTAAATTCAAGAACTGTTGCATGACTATTTTAAAGGTAAGTTCAACAGTAACAAAAAAATCTCCAAGCTACAGTCAGTGAAACTGTACGGATAACAAAGGTTTAAATTAAAGCACTAGAAAAAAGCACTAAATAAATGCTATATCACACGAGGCAATCAGATTCAGCTAAAATAACAACAAAAAAATGTGGTAGGAACTTGAGTGTCTTTTCAGAGATCTACTTGACAGCCAGCTGCCCATTGCTTTTACAAGAGCAAGTCAAGATACTTACTGAAGGTATTGACTTTGTTCTGCTTGAATTAATCTAAGCTTTTAATTTAGGTTAAATACTCTGTACAATTAACAAAATTAAATAGATAGTTGCAGTTATCAAGGAGCAGAGTGAAACCGAGTATTATAGGCATTCCTACTCATCTCTAGCATGAAGGACAGCCTAGGTACACTTTAATGCAGAAAGTGGACTACCAACAGTAGCAGCCTCTGGGTTTTTTAGATAATCCACAAACTCACAAAATGCACTGACTCTTTAAAAGGAAAAGCACTATCCCTTAAAAACTTTTTTTGATGCATGCCCCAAGAAGCTTAAAATTATAAGGCATAAGGCACTTTGCTAGCGAGACATAAGTTGTTTAAGTAGCTTTACTAATTCTAAATGTTTGAAATGAATATATGCATTTTAAACACTTCTCTGTCAAACTGCCACAACTGCTTCAAAGATGTAAAGAAATCCTAAGTGAATGCAGAAGATACAAGCCCTGACCCATGTTAGCTTGAATATATTCATGGCCTATTAACTCCACCCCTTCTAGGTTTGCCTATAGCTACAGACTTGGCAATGTGCCCCAAATTGCCCTGGGGATGATTACAGGCCAAGCAGGGCCTCTAGTCTGAGGGAAAGCACAGATGGGTTCATTAGAGCTGCAATTTTCCCAAGTATTCAACCCTGGCTTAACTTCGGGCACTCTGTGGACTTAGAGAGTCGAGTAAAGACAACGTTTACTTTCAAGATCTTTGTCACACACACGCACATGCTTGCACACATGCAGTTTGATGTCAGGGCATTCAACGTGACACCAGAATAAGCCCCAAGAAGCCTTTCGGAGGAACTATGGCGCATATAGACCTACTTGGCTGTTCGGACATCAATAGCACCCTTTAGCTTTTCTTCACTGTCATTTTCGAAGTACATCAATCTGGACTGCCTGAGAACAAACCATCGTTTCTTCCAGTTCCTTCTGGAAAGTGTAGACGATCCACCCCCCTTTTTGTGAAGCCAACCCTGTTTAAGTGCTTCCTGCTTGGAACGAAACCACAGGAAGGTCTCATCTTTCAGGACACACCAGCGTCGCTTCCATGTGTTTATTAAGCCACCTGGCAAGAGAGACAAAGGCTGGTTTATAAGCAGTTAAGACAAACAATTATATCATAAAACTAAAGCTGTTTCCAAACCAAAACTGGAAGATGATGATCAATAATGCTGCAACTAATCTGAGTCTCTGCTGCAAGCCATGAAACCAAAGTTCTCATTTTCACATATTCTGAAGACCACCTTTTTGCTTGCAATCTAAAGATCCCTAAATTATGAGATAGTCTTACTGAAAACAAGATTCAGATCTTCAATACTATTTTCAATAGATCTCAATGCTAATCTAAGAAAAGTTAAAAGTGTTCAATCCTTTCATTGTCTTAAACACTTACGCTTAGTAAGAGGCAAACTCAAACCCACAAAATCTAAAAACCTGCACTTAGAGTTGAAAATATACTGTGGTGAACTGAGTCATGACGAAGTGCATGTGCTGTTTAACTTCATGTGAGGTTTGTTATAGGTTTTCAGGGACAGGAAGCCACTTTCCTCAAAATTTGGTACAGTTTGACTTTGGGAGTTATTCTGCTCTATTTGTACTGGATACTTCATTGTTTATGAGCCAGGAAAGACTTCATATAAAATGGAGGCAGACCAGAAATATTTCCAGAGGAGAAAAGTACTGCCAAATGCGGGTCACGGCAAGTAACTTAATTTAGAGCAGCTCTCTCCAGACTTTTCTGTTGCCCGCTGAAAAATTAGCAAATACCTTAATTCTACAGGTATTGGAGCACAAGGTGTACTAAACATTTCCAGTTATTTTTCATCTTTATCCAATTCTGATTCACCCAATACCTTTCATGTACAGAAAACTGTGGAAGTAGGGCAGGCTGACACAGCTGTAGACTGAATCCCTCCGGTAGGAAAGTTCATCATCTGTATCAAACCTGGAGTCAAAGTCTTCTTCGCTGTCTTCGAACTACAGAAAAAAGGAACAAAGGAACTCTTTCAGAAGAGTTAAGAGAAAGCAGTTTTCTAGAAGTCTTTTGCCAAAGCACCTTATGATGTTCTTTATGCTAGAGAACACCGTTCCTAGCTGTGTTTTATCCACCTTACTGAGGGGAGTATGCTTTAGTAAGTGGAATGAGTCACTACGATAATTTAAAAATTGAGAGGGCTCAGCATTTTGCAGCCTGTCCTCTCTGATTATACACTAGCCCTAATTTAATATAACAAATCTATGAGACATCTTTGTAGCTGACTGGAGAAGGTACCCAGAAGCAGAGGCCAGGTAACTTTCTGTTCTATTTCTCACACACCCAACCATGAAGCCCAAAGGAGTCCCCAACAGAGGCAACTCTAAGTGTTCTCCTCAGAGGCAAGAACGTCAGCTCATCCCAGTTATCCCACGACAGATAAATCAAGATGGTCCTCTGACTGGATTTCATTATCTCAACTGAAATAGTCATTTTAGTGTTACAGTTTTCCTCAGAAATAGGTCAGTGTTGCTGAAACATCCTTTTTCATTTACCCAATCATATAGTCTCAGAGAATTATTCTGAGGGTGACAGAGGAAATCATGTTCATGCAAAAGTATTTTTAAGAATAAAGCACGCAGTATGTTCAGCAAGCACTGAAGAGCTCTTCAAGATTAATGTGTGCTTCAAGAATGCCTTTTCAAGAATCCCACAACATTTTCCACCATGTGAAATTTATTCACAAAGTAATGTCAATATACATCTGGCATTTCAGAGATGTCTGTAAGCAGCTTTTTTGGTACTGTTCCAGCTTGCACGTACAACCAAAGACACTTTTTTTGAAGTCATTTTCCCCTGTGTCCCCCTCTGCAAATACATAAACAAAAGAATTCTGCTTATGAATTGCATCTGAGGCCACACACAGAGGTCCTTGCAAAATGATGTGCAGCTCTGCATTAAAACAGATGGAACAATACACTTGCATAAGCAAAGTCTGGTAAAACTAAGGCGCAATCAGCATTTGAGCTGGTTCTAACTCTAATGCACTCACCCCACCAGCATCTAGATGGCAACAGACAACTGTGCCCCAGTGCAGTGCAAGCATGTCTAACCTTATCCAACACAGGCATTTATGGGCACTGCTATAGTGAGGAAAGTTAACCCGCACTGTCTTCAGGGAAAAAAAAAAAAAAGACAGAAAGATTGTAACAATTATGAGAACAAAACCAAAGATACTTACAGAAGACTGAGCTCCTTCGGAACTAAACCTGTATGCTCCAGAGCTGTTGTATGTCCCCACTGAGCACCGGTAGTCAGGGGACCACTGGCTGCTGTGTGAATTAGAGAAGGTCACACTGCTACCAGAAGTAATAGCACCATCTTCATAATCATCTTGGTCATAATCATAGTCTCCATCAGGAGAAATGAGTTCCACAGAATTTGGGGGCCTGCACGACACGTTCTCTGGCATGCAGTATGTGGATTCACCACTTGACGAGTTGTGGAGACTGACTGAGTCGTGGGTAGGAGGTATAAGCATGGTGTTGCTA